CGTCCCCCCCCCCACCCCCCATTTATGCTCATTTAATTTTCTTTGGTAACAGCTTTTTTGAGATGTAATTAAAATGCCATAAAACTGACTCATTTAAAATGTACAATTCTGTAGTTTTACTATACTCACAGTGTTGCTCATCCATCACTGCAATCAGTTTAAAAACATTTTCATCGGTACAAAAAAAAATAAAAACCCTATACCTTTGAGTAGTCATCTCCCATTTTCCCTCAATCTTCACATCCCTCTGCAATGACTAATCTGCTTTCTATAGAGTCACCTATTCTGAACATTTTATGTATGTGAAATCATGAAATATGTGCCCTTTGGTGTTTGGCTTCGTTCACTCGGCATAATGTTTTTGAAGTCCATCCACATTGTAGCATGTATCAGTATTTCATTCCATTTTATGGACGAATAATATTCCATTGTATGGCTATTCCCCTTTTTACTTACTCATTCATCAGTTGATAAATATTTGGGTTGTTTCCACCTCTTGGATTCAAGTTTTCGCGTGAAAATATATTTTCATATCTCTTGGCCATATACCCAGGTGTGAAATTTCTGGGTCATATGGTAAATCTAACTTTTTGAAAGAGCGTTGAATTGTTTTCCAATGTTGCTGCACCATTTTACATTCCTCTCAGCAGTGTATGAGAGCATTGATTGCTCCTTACCCTCACCAACACTTGTTAGTATCTAATTACTTCTTAGACAGCCTTTCAATAACCATCTTTTTTTCACACACCACCTTCATCTCCTGCTTTCAGAGAAGACTTGGTGTCTGTAATTCATTGTAGGGGGGAAAGGTGTTCTATGACATTAATTGAGTTGTTCCCTGGCTTTTTTCTCTTTGCCAACTCGAGATTCACTTTTCTCTAGTGTGCTCAGTTGTTTACCAACCACTTCTCAGTTTGGTTTCCACTTCCAAATTTTGTCAATGACTTTTCTTCCCCCATCTTTGTAACGGGTTTTGCCTTGTAAAAATAACTTTTCCATCATTTTAGTTGTGTTTCATGAGTGAAAAGAGCTAAATGCATGTATCTGTCCACCATCTTTAACTGTAAGTTGATAATTGCTTGAATTAGATTGTATATTGGATTTAATCCACATCCAGAATCTTATATAGGTATATTGTCTCTCACTCCCTTTGTGTTCTGTGCTTCCTATACACACATTTCATCCTATCCGGCCCCCATCTTGCCCTAATTCTGGACCCTACAATGTTCCCAGGCCCCAAAGTCATGACCTTTATGTTTATAGTGGCAGTGAGCCAATAATCAAATGAAAACATAGCACCAGTTGATGAGGACTGTATTTTTCTTGTGATATTAGAAAAAAAAAAATTCTTCTCTTGCCCAGGTCTGATTTATATTCAGTACAACCTATTTCTTTTCTAGGCCTTAGCCTGTGGAGCTGAGCCTTTTGTTAACTTTCTTGGATATATTGAAGAACTTTTTAGTCATGTTCATCATTGCTTTCTCACCTTTAAGCATTCTACAACAATATGGATTTATGTGTAAAAACTTTTAGTTTTTGACATTTTGGAATTTTTCTCTCTTAAATCCTTGAAATAGTGTTTATTGTAGTTTTTCAGATATACTGCCTCTGATGGCCATACCATATATAACAGCCATTTTTCTGGTAAATTTTCCTTGAGATGTTAAGAAACCTGCATTCATTGGATCTAATCAATGAACACTTAGCATTCTCACAGCTATATGTCTAATTTAAATTTATTGATGATTATATTTTAATGACAGGAATGTCAAAGAAAATTAAAACATAGACTTGGTCTGGATTCCTATTTGCTCAAACCAGTGCAACGAATCACGAAATATCAGTTACTGTTGAAGGCAAGTACATTAAGCATTTGTTTATTTCTTTCTTTACTTCTTTGAATCAGGTGTGCCAAAGCCATTAAATTTATTTCTAAGAAACACTAGAAATAGGTAGACTCAATGACTGGGAAGCCTGCTTTTAGCAGTAGAATCAACGCAGTGTGCTTCTTTGGTTCCCTGTGGCTGTGCAAGTGCTGGAGGCATAGGTATAAAGCTGAGATTATCTTGTGTCTTTTTAGCTAATTATCCAAACAAGTTACATTGACGTATGTATAACATTTACTGCAGAACTTTTACTATTGTTAAGAAGAACTAAACAAATATATATCTCTTATAGAGTGGAGACTGTATTTCATGTGGGCCTTCTCAATGGAAAGTGAATATGGTATACCCTTCATGTAATGTAGAAATGTCGCGTTACATATGAATACAACATGGCTCGCTTTAAAATGTATTTTCACAATGTTCTATGGTATATGCATAATTAATAAAACAAATTGTTGTAAGTAGAGGACCAAAAAAATGTGTAATTGCTTTAAAAACTAACCTCTAGTGTGTCTTAATAGCTATTATTCGTCGGCTCAAAAACATTGAATGCCCTTTGCTTTATACTATTTAGTCAGTATTCCATTTCTTCTCCAATTTTGACATGGTTATTAAATATAGTATTAATGTGACAAATAGCATATGAAAGAAGCTACTCAAAAAAGTGACATCTTTGGCTTCTTCCTTGAAAGCTTGTTGGCCAAAATTATATTCAATTTTTTACAGCTCTTAATATATGCCTAATATTAAGTTTAATTCTTGACTTCTAATTAATAGGAGCTATTAAAATATAGCAAGGGCTGCGAAGGATTTGAAAAATTAAAGGAGGCACTTGACACGGTGCTGGATTTACTGAAATCAGTTAATGACTCTATGCATCAGGCTGCAATAAATGGCTATATTGTAAGTACATTTTAATGATTGTTGCAGTTTCAGGGGGAAAGCATGTTCATATTCCTTTCTTCTTTTCCTAGAATCAATTGAGAAATAAGAAGTGAGAGGCAGACAAACGGAGATCCAAATGTTAACATTATTACTGATAATTTCAGGTGGAGAATTGGCTTCAGATCACTAGCCAAATGGATGTGTGACATTCCCCTTGTCCTCAACAGCCTACCCCTAAGTCCAGACCTCAGGAGATCCTGCTCGAAGGAATGTTTGGGTCTTCTAAGGAGACATACTGTCCCAGAATTGCCCCTTGCCCTAGTCTAGGATAGATATGGAAGAAAAATACTAAATCTTTAGAGTTAGCTCCACTCAGTGGGGAAACTTGAGCTGGTGGATATCATTCACCAATCAGGATTAAGGAAGAGATGGGGAGTTACCCTATCTAAACTACTTACCTCTACATGGAGACATGAAGCCAGGAAAAAGGAGGTTTCTTAGATATCCCACTCCCTCAGTAATTGCATGACTATGTGACACGTGCCATGTTTCGATGTAAAAAGCTATGATGAAATTTTAAAGACTATACAAATTATGCTTCAGGATTTTAGTAGTTCAAGCCAACACTGTAATGTTGACACCAGGAATGCGAATGTCGCTCTGCCTTGTGCTAATGAGTTTTGATTTTCCATTCTAGGGAAACTTAAATGAGCTGGGCAAGATGATAACACAGGGTGCATTCAGTGTTTGGATTGGACACAAAAAAGGTGCTACAAAAATGAAGGATTTTGCTCGATTCAAACCAATGCAGCGGCACCTTTTCTTGTATGAAAAAGCCATTGTTTTTTGTAAAAGGCGTGTTGAAAATGGAGAAGGCGCCAGTAGATACCCATCATACAGTTTTAAGCACTGTTTAAAAGTAAGACAATTCGAATTGTATAATGTAATATTATTTCACACGTATATTCAATTTTGTGTACTTCTTCGGTTCAAATGAGTGGGTTTTATACTTTAGTGGCACATCCATTTGTTTAAACAAAATCTTTTTTAACTGAGGTGTAATGTACATATAACATATGAGTTGCAGCTATACAGCATAATGATTCGATATTTGTATATATTGTGAAATGATCACCACAGTAAGTCTAGTTTAGTTAACATCCATCACTACACAGTTAAAATTTTTTACTTGTGATGAGAACTTTTAAGGCCTACTGTCTTAGTAACTTTCAATTATACAACACAGTATTATTAATACTAGGCATCATGCCATCGTTGCACCTCCAGGACTTAGTGGTTTTGTGCCCTTTGACCCCCTTTACCTGTCTTGCCCACTCCCACCTATGAAATCTTAAGTAGAAGTCAGGTACAGCAGAACTTCTCTGCCTGAAACAAGTGAGGAAGAGCAGAGCTTTGCTTCCTCCCTAGTGCCCTGCAGAGCATAGTTTGAAATAAGTAACCTAGGTTCCCTCATGAGCATTCTTACCAGGAAGAGTTCTTGGTCTTGGTTACCTTTTATTGTGTAGGAGAGACAAGGAGGAAAGAATTCCTTCCTTTTCCTCGGTGTAATGTAAGAATTGATATATGATTAATAGCACACCCGCATCTTCCTTTTCGTATCATTCCTCCAGTCCCCAACTTCTCCCTTCCTGGGTGTTCAAAGACACCTACAGCTGAATCCCGTTCACACCTGTCCTGTCCTATCCCTTGAGATTACTTTATTCTCTCCTATAACCCAAACTACCATTCTGTTCTAATATTAGTTTGGTATCAAAATGAGAGCAGTATTGTTTGAAGAAGTCACTGGCAACCCAGTGATACTACCAGCTGGTTTCGACATTTAACAAGCGGTACTTCCAATTTGCATGAGTCTATAATTGGCGATTTTGATTCTTTTTACAACTAATGAATTTTATCTTTCAAGTTTTAAGTTGTAAAGGCAATATAGCATTTGTTGTAGGAAAAAATTGGAAAACTGAGAAAATTGTTACCCTTGATTCCCCAACCACTATCACTTTAGTCATTTTTTATGAGCATGTTCTTTCGTAGTTGTCATCACCAGTATATTTGAGAATTGATGAAATTTTCAGCAGCAGCAGTAAAGAGGACAGGCAGAGTGTCCTCAGATAGGCCTGAGGTATTTCTGCTAGGAGGCTACTAGCGGGCTCTGCTTTTGTTTCTTCCCAGAGGGTCAACAGTTCCATGCTGTTCTTAACAAAGTTTCAGACCAGGGTTAGGTCTCCTACTTCTTCCTACTCTCCACTTTCCCTGCTTCACTTCTGAACCCACAGCAGTGTCACAACTTCTTTAAAATTATTACTGTTTTCATAACAAATGCCTTGTTGCTCCTTTGATATTAGCAACCTATCTCCAAGCCCCCCAAATCTCCAAGGATCTTTTATGTCTCTAATAAACATTAGTTGAGAACCAAAAATCTGTAACCGATCTCGGACAGGGTTCAGATCTGTTTGACCCAAATCCGTTTATTTGGTTCACTTTTTATTTGTAGAGTGACCAAGTTACCACTTAAAGTATTATTTCTGGCCTATATTGATTTTTCATTTTACTTTTAATTTGCCAAAATGATGGACACACCAACAGAATATTTCTTGAGAACATTAGAATAAAGAGGTACTGGTATAAAGTAACGAAGTCATGAGAATTCAAACTTTAGTGGTCACTGTGGAAACAGAAGATGGGATAGATACAAGAAACATTTCAATGGAAGGTAGACAGTTGGGCTTGTTTACTGACTAGATACAGGAAATAAATAATACCTGACGTATGAAGGAAAAAAATAAGGCTGATTTTTCTTTAGTTCCCCAATAATTCCTACTATTTTTAATAAAACAGATTAGTCATATCTGCAAGGATTTAAATCAGGATTATAGAAAATTGGTGATGCCACTGACAGAGAAAGATGGAAGATGGGCTATTTCTGAAGCCTTACTATGCTTACTTCTTCCTTACCTATCATACATAGGATTCTAGAATTTAACTGCTGGTGTTACTAGTTGGTGTTTAGGTAATAATTTGGTTTACTCGTTTCAATGCAGATGCTCTCTATGGCTGAACAGCTTCTCTCCCACTATCAATGGACTGTTGCCTTGGCTTCATATCAAGCTGCAATTCCATAGCCTGATGATGTACTTTCTAATGATTGTGTGCTAGGTTTTAATTCAGCCACTTCTATGCAAAGGAAAGTCCCTAAGATTAGTCTCTAAAGGTCCCTACGGATAGTCAAATGGACAGATTTGACTTCTTCAGAGTCTTTAGTTCATGTCATCTATTATTGTCATCTATTTTTATTTAACAAACGTACGCATAGTGCTTACTATGTGCTAAGAACTATTCTGACTGTTTACCAATATTGTTAACTCATTTAATCCACATAGCATTTTATATGAAGTAACCCATTCCCATTTTGAGGATGGAAAAGCTAGGTTCTGGAGAGGTGAGTAATTTGCTCAAGAGCAAATAGCTAGTAGGTGATGCAGTGCAGCTTCAGACCCAGGCAGATGGCTCCAGAATCTATGCTCTCAATCACTGCACCATGCTGAGAGGCCTTGTTCTCGTTTGTTCTTTCTTTCATTTCTTCATTCATTCCCTTTTTTCCCTATTCTCTGCACTTATCTTCTCTCTACCTCTGTAGCAACCATTCTTTCGTTTTTTCACATGTGGTTTTAATTTATATAAATTATATTCTGTTATGATTCTCATTTTCTTTCTTTTTTTGATGTCAAACTATTTTCAAGATTCAGCCATGTTATTGTTTATACCCAGTATCTCGCTTCTAATGCTTCATAGCATTTAAGCCTAGCTACATTTTTTTGTTAATGTGATTCAAGATCAATTTGTTAATAATACTAACCCAAGAAATAACTAAACTCTATCCCAGAGACATAATTAAAAGTCTTAAGATTGGTAGTTATTGGTTATAATCCCAGAGTTCTTGACCCACTGGGTGATGTTTAACAAGGTAGTTAACATCTTCACACTTCCCTCATGACAGAAAATTAGGTTGAAATTTGGGGCCATGAACACTTGACACAGCAAGATAAAATGCTTTATAATAAAAGAAATATATATTCATAGCTATCAGGAATCATCAATGAACATATGAAGGGTAAGGGTCTAACTGTAGAATCAGCTTCATTTTATTATGTATATTATTTATTGTATATTATATAATTATATAGTTACACATTTAACTCTTCCTCTAGGATCTAAAATTGAGTAAATGTTCATGATATAGTGAACATTTAATAAGTAGTGTAACAACCTTTCAAACATTTATATTTTGTTATTGGAGAAAATATGTATAATTTACAGATGATTACAAATGGATTGTATACGAGTGGATCACATGTAATGAATTGTTTGGAACTGAAAAGATATTGTCTGATAGATATACTGGTTAGATTTCCAGGATAGCTTGAAAGAGCTCATTTAATCTATAATGATATTCTAGATGTATGCAATGAAAAATCACAAAAACTATTGCAGTTCAAATGAGGGAAAGTTTAGAAAGCAAGAAAGCAGACTCATACTTTAAAAAACTCATTGTATGACCCAGACACTTAATGCCTATTACTTAATTCTATATCAACTTTATGAAATAGGTAGTGTTCCCATTTTATAGTTGAGGAAAGCGAAGTTCAGAAAGATTAAGAAATCTGCACTAAGACACGCAACCAGTAAGTGGTAGGAATGAGGTTCCAACCCCAGCCTCTCGGATTCCAAAGCCCTTATGCGTTCCATCTTACCATGCTAGTAAGACAAAATCATGTATCAATTTATATAGAGATCAAATATTAGATTATTATTTATCTTTAATCCTGATATTGGAGCAAAAGGAGGTTAGAGTGGTTGAACAGGAATATAAAGATTTTGGGGGGCATTCTGAAAGTATCTTCTGACTACATTCAGGGTAGATGTCACAGGCTCTTTCATTTATATGTCACATTTCATTTCTAAGCATAATCCCTTTTCCTTGATATGGGGCTCTCACTACCACTTCTTTTAATGCTTATCAACTGTAATTAAGGTCTTTTAGGGGGCTCATAAATGGAATAGAGAGTGAGATATTTCTTTGGATAATTAATTAGGCGGGAATTGAAAGAAAAGAGAAGGCAGGAGGGGACTAAACGAGAATATGTGTACGAGGAAGTGAAATTGCTCAAAATAGAATTAACCGTGCCATTAGCACAGGATAAAAAAAAAAAATGGAAGAGATTGTGCTTTGCCCAATCACAAGAGAAGAAAAATTATGGTAAAGAAGGGATATTATATATAAAAGTTCCACTGGCTACAAGGAGATATCAGTCTCCCATGACAGATTATTTGTTTTCTAGAGAGGCCTAAGGATTGATGGAAATAGAGGCTGCCCTTGTGTACCTAGCTGGTTTTCCCTGCCCCGTAAATTGAATGTTTATAACATGCAGGCCTTCTATAGAGATAAGTAACAATTTGTAAAATCAACTTATCTGAGAAATGATTAATAAAAATAGTGAAATTAATTTCAGATGATCTTTTTCACTGATGTTTGGTTGCTTCTGTGTTTGACATAATAATTTGCTTTAAGAGTATACAGTTGTCTATGGCCATGCCACCCTGAACAAGTCTGATCCCGTCTGATCTCGGAAGCTAAGCAGGGTCGGGCCTGGTTAGTACTTGGATGGGAGACCACCAAGGAAGACCAGGTGCTGTAGGCGTAAAAAATAAAAAAAATAAGAGATTGTAAGCTGACAAGGTCCTTGCAATCTAT